ATAAAACAGAGGTGATGAAAATTCCTGGCCAACAACAACAAAAACAACAGACATCAATTAGTCAGTACAAATGGGAGAAATCTGAAAGAAGCAACCTCCTTCACTTACCTGCTTACCTACCTGGGAAGCATAGTTTCAATTACAGACAGACGGAACTGATAAGGATACCAAAGCGATGATCGGGTAAGCAAGGCGGGCTTTCATTACCCTCAAGTCTATGTGGAGCAGATGAACAGCACTCAGCGTGAAAAATAAGGTCCGGATTTTCAAATCCAATGTGATACCAGTGCTACTGGACAGACACACACACCGCGTCACGAAGGCATTTCGAACAAGCTACAGACCTTCATCAACAGCCGCCTTCTCTCAATGCTTCGCTCAAGATCAGATGGCCCACCATAGAAGATCTGCAACAGAGATCTCTGAGAGCGAACCAACGCAGCAGTAACCAAATTGTGCAACAAATGTGCAAGAAGAAATGGAGGTGGATTGCCTGGCCATACTCTGAGACAACAAACCATCAAGTGAGGGACATCCCACGCCAGACTATCTCTCCCTTGAGTGGAACCCGAATCGTAAGCGGCGAGTTGGTCATCAGTGAGAGGGTGACATAAAGAAAGTGATGTGAAGAGGAAATGAAAGCATGTGGGGGCGGACGTGGATCCACACATGGAGACGTGTGGTTGAAGTTCTACGTTCCTCTAGGAACTGTCTTTCAATACTACAATTATTAGTTTATGTATTTACACTTTTGTTGTAAGTTTCTCACGGAATAGAATTTCTTCAAAACCATATGAATACTATGATTGTACAACTTTGATAATAAATTATTTGTTGAGGAGAGTCCCTATGCTTTTGATGTTACAATGGGAAACACTAAATTATTGACAGGAACAACAAGGTTGTTTTTTACAGGTTTATACAGTGAAACTGCCTTCTTCATTCTACATTTTACTATGTAATAGTCGTCAGGCGACAGAGGCAATAGGCACTCGGACTATTAAGACGGAGTACCTTGGTGGATGGTAGCTAACAATGAGAAATCCATAGCATGAGCATTTCGTCCTAATTGAGGCTCGTCACTTGGACGTACCTGCATTTCCCAGTGAGTTAGCGAGTGAGTGACTCCAGCAACCAGCCATCCAGGCTTTGAGCTCTATGTTCCACAATATCGACGCAAAAAATCAAGATAAAATAAAGTCATATATATTATACTGCATCACCAGGCTAGATCCTACTGAGTCAATTTCACACCCCTTAACACATTACACAATAGAAATAAAATACTGACAATATGACAAGAATCTTCATACAATCAGTTCCCCTAATTAGGTTGAATAAAGACAGAACGAGCATATTTACAGTTGTGAAAGTTAAAAATAGTTTAATTTCGTGTATTGTTGATTCTCTTCAACTGCTGAAAACATACTAAACACAATCAAATTATAAGTTACAAAATCGTGTATGAAAATACTTTCTATAATGACTTTATAGGCAACATAATTTCAAAAGTGATGTTAAAAGAGTAACTATTTATATGATTAATTAGACAAAAGGGTGGAATTCAGATTTCTCTTGGAAACAAGAATGGACTAAAGAGGATAGTGTTTACTAATTTCTCCGTTTGAAAGGCAACAAAGTATCCTCAAGCTCAATCGACAGACACCTACCTACCTCATTGACCGATACACAGGACATACACAGTGGGAATTAGTCAGCAGGTTTTCAGAATAATCAATACATAGAGAAAAGCATGGCTACTTCGTTTCTCAAAGGCCATCGCGATCAAAAGACTTCAATCCAACCAACCTATGCATACTGTGCAAAGATAGTGTGTGACTGATCTCTCACTACCCCTCTCCCAATACCAGGTAGCCGTAATTATTTTCTCCATCTACGCTTTTCTGTTTTCTTTTGTTCTGTTGCATAATATTCCACTGAATCTTGATCTTCACTTACTCAGTGAGTTGAACTTATTACTAAGGTTCTAAATCTACTAAATTAAAATATTTCATCATTTTACTTCAGTAATGAGCATTGAGAAGACAGAGGTGATGATGAAGATTCCTGGCCAACAACAACAACAACAACAACAGGAAACAATCGGCCAGCATGAATGGGAAGAACCTGAAAGAAACAATTTCCTTCACCTACCTGGGAGGCACCGTTTCAACCAGAGGCGGAACTGACGAGGATATCAAAACAAGGATCGGGAAAGCAGGAAAAGCTTTCACTACTTTTAAGTCTGTGTGGAGGTCAACAGCACTACTCGGCATAAAAAATAACATCCGAATTTTCAACTCCAATGTGAAGTCAGTCAGTGCTACTTACTGTACGGATCAGAGACTTGGCCAGCGCGTCATAAAGAGCACCTCAAACAAACTACAGACCTTCATCGACAGCCGGCTGCCTTCGCTCAATACTCCACTCAAGATCAGATGGTTGACCAGAAAAGATCAGCAACAAGGATCCCTGGGAGTGAACCAACGCAACAGGAGTCTGTTGAGTAACAAATATGAAGGAAGAAATGGGGTTGGATTGGCCATACTCTGAGACAACAAACCATCAAATTACATCACTAGACAAGCTATTGCTCGATTGGAACCAGAAATGGAAGCGGCGAGTTGGTCGTCAGTGCGGGGGTGACTCGGAGGTCATGTGAAGAGGAGATGGAAGCATGTGGGAAGACTTGGAGCCAGGTGAAGAAGTTGGCAGAAAACCGATGGCAATGGAGATGTGAGAGGCTGAAGCCCTATGTTCCTCTAGGAGTTAAAGAAAATAATAATATAATGACTCCCACCCAACTTCCTGAATTCACTTTGTTGTCCTATCCTGTATTTTATCTCTAATCCTTCCTTGTTTCCAAGCGAAAACTGAAGTCTACCCCTTATCTAATCACCGTATAAATGGTTACTCCTTTAACACTCAATAATTGTCGACTTACATAATCTTTGAAATTATGTTACTCCTATACTTTCCATCTATAACACCTGAAGATATTATTACCGCCAGTCAGTCAAATCAGAGGAGGATAATAAATAATCTTAAATTGTATTCCATTTCAATTCAATTCACGTACACCATCACAACATTCTAACAAGTTACTCACTTATTTTGACTATAAGTAAAACACTCGTCTTATTTCCCATCTGATTGTGATTAATCACCCATAACACTCATATTACTATTATTATTTCTGAATGCAAATTATTCCATATTGACTTTTATTCAGTTTTCTAATCATCAATCTCACTCATGTAAATATAAGTGAAGTAAAAAGTTGTGTGACATGATATGACTATGAGTGGCAATAGTTTGTGCTGGAAACGTTATCAGTTAATATAACTAAAAAACAATGTGTGATTTATCAAAATAAAATCTTATCTGTAGTGCAGTTATACTCGATCACCAAAGTGCTCAAGTTTCATACTTGTATCAATGACACTTGAAATCACTGTAAAAAAATATGTTGAAACGCCATTTTTTAACTTGTTATTTGATTGTGTTTAGGATGTAGGCAACAGTTGAAGAGAATCAATAATACACCAAAATCAAACGAGCTGCTAGTATTAAATGTGATGTCTTCCCAGCAAATTTTATCATCGTTGTCCCTTTTTATCTTAAATTGATGGAGTCTCGGTGCGTTCGCCTTTGGGACCTATTCTGGCTGATATGTTCATGGACTACCTTGAACAGACACAACTGAGTTCTGTTGTCAATGGGACAACCTAGTGTCGCCGATATGTTGATGACACATTTGTTGTTTGTAACGACATGGATTACTCATCGGCATTATATGATCGCCTAAATGAGACACATCCAAACATCAAATTCACCATGGAATATGAAAATAATAAGGAATTCGATTTCCTGGATATAAATGTAAAAAGAACAAACGAAGGCATGGTCGAAAAGTCCATCTATAGAAAGGAAACCTGGACTGGACAATATCTTCACTATAACAGCTTTTGTACCATAAGCTATAAACGTGGATTAGTAAGGACTTTGTACGACAGAGCCAGGAAGCTATGTTCACCAAACAAGGTTGAAGAAGAATTACATTTCGTCGAGAAATGACCTAAGGGATTTATACACAAGTATAGTAGAGAAAAAGATAAGAAGGAAAAGTATCCTACTGTAGAAAAGAAAAAAGTGTTTATTTGTCTCCCATTCAAAGGAGATGCAGTGTCACGACTGACAAAAGACTGAAAGGTGCAATAAATAGAAGCTTCCCACCTGTAGCTAAACTCATAATAGTATACAGCACCACTTCTTCTATAAGCCACTCAAAACTGGATAAATACCCTGCTGATGTCACCTCCAACTGCGTTTATGAATTTACGTGCACTTGCAGGAGCAAGTACATTGGAAGGACAGGAAGAAGAGTTTCTATCCTGTGATTTTCTGAACATATTCCAAAAAACCTGTGCCTGAAAGGAAACAGGTATTCTCAGAGTGCGATTACCAGACATATTGTTGATACTGGAAATCCCGCAGAGATTTCTAAATCCTTCAAAATATTAAATAGACAAAGGACAGCAAATTTACTACGATTTGCCGAAGCGATCGCAATCAAACGATTTAAACCAGACTTATGCATACAGAAAGAGAGTGTGATTAACCTTTCACTCCCTTGGTAGCTGAATTTTGATTTTGATCACATTAATTATAATAGTCATCTAATTCAGTGGTCTGAACTCACTGAACACATCTTAATCTCATAAAATGTAACTGCTTTTATTTTTAGAAATGCTATGTGAACAAGCTACAAGCTGCGAGGGAACAAAGAAAACTATAAAACTCAAGTTTCAAAGTTGTGTGATTACAGTTGATGTGATTATGAACAATAAATTTTGTTCGAAACGTTATCCAGTGCATAATACTGTTTCACTGACTGTATGACACATCTAATAAACAAACTAATATGGAACTTTAAAAAGTCGTCAGCGTACAAATCCCGTCCTAATTCCGATGAAATCCAGTTGTCACCGACCACCTACCTTCTGAATCATTTTCTTTAGCATCAGCATTAGATCCTGCTGGTGTCTCACTTTTGAATTGACTAGTTTTCATCGATTGAGATTTATTTCTGGCAAGTGTTGAAGAAGTATTATTGTTCACACCTCCTAGTCCTCTTTCTACAGGAACATTTGAAGCTTTGCTTGTAGACTGCTCATTTCTATGCAGATTCGTCAGTACAGGACCGGCAGACAAATGACGTTTCCGTTTAGAACGTCGTCTAGATTCGTTACCAGTGGTGCTGCCACCGGTGCTGTGACGACTACGACTGCTACTACTGCTACTACTACTTCCACTGCTGCTACTGCGAGTCATGCGACGACGAACAATATTGCTGGAATAATTACTGATTAATTTAGCATCATCTGCAGGAGTATTCGATGAAAATCTGGAATTACTTTCTAATAATTCATTGGACAAACGACGTCTTTTAACACGCATCGGTGAAGTATTCTGAGCCAATGAAACTTTAGACCTGTTGAGGGGAAATTAAAAAAAAAGACAAACAACAAAGAAATTAAAGCTTCGCAATATTAAAAAAAAGAATATATTTTAATTAAAACACAAAATTTGCTCCAGTATGGTAGTAATTCTCTATAGTTTGGTTTGTAAGGGTTAGCTTTTTTTTTACGAGTTCGACCACGCACGGATTGATATCAGTTAAAGAACCATTGATAACCAGCCACAAGGAGTACTGGACAGTCAGCTGTTTCATCAGCCTAGTTTTGGGATCATCGGTAGTTTCTTGGAGTTCTAGGGAGAGATGACTAATGAGGTCCATCCAGATGTCACGTGTGAGGATGGATGTCCCACATACGACACTGGTTGGGATCATGCTAAATCACGAATTGGTAGAAGTTAGAATTCATGCACTGACTGGCCATTGAATCGGGTCCTAGTGAGTGGCTGAATGTTACACGAGCTAGCTAGCTTGCCTTGTAACCGGAAGGTCCTGGGTTCGAACCCTGGCAGTGGGTGAGTACTGCCGATGATTCCCAAACTAGGCTGATGAAACAGCTGTCCAGTACTCCCTGGTTTCCAATGGTTGTTTAACTGATATCAATCCGTGATCAACTCGTAAAAACAAAACTAACTCTTACAAACCAAACTACAGAAAGTTAATTATTATTATTATTACTATTATTTAAACACAAAAATTCGGTACAATGTTACACCAAGAAGATGCGCCACACAATAATAATAATAAAACAACATATGAAAAACACATGGTAGGTAGGGAATGAACAAAGGACTTCCTCTGTGAAGAAGAAGAAGAAAGCAATTATATTTCACATGATCAAACAGCATTCATTGAATTATTTTCAGAAAGGCTAGAGATGAGAAAACTGCAGCATGTTCGTCATTGATTGCACTTCTTGGGCACTGGATTTGAATTGTTTCTCAGACCTTAACCACGGAGTCTTGACGCACCGACCGATGCTGACCTACCATAAATATCCTTCATCCCTTGACGCCACGTTATGGGTTGACCACTTCTCCGCTTTTTTCATAACTATGGTTCTTATGCTGAGGCTTATACGCGTGATATACACCACACCCCCACCTCCCAAGGCTTAATGCAAATAGTGTGAATAAATAAGTTGTAGGTATACAAAGTTACAACGACAACAACAACAAATCATGGATTCTCGTCAACTCATCAATACAACAACGCAAACAATATCACAAAATACATAAATAATTTGCAAAAAGTAGCATCTGATGAACACATACTTTTCTAACCATCACAAGGACTTCGATTTATAAATAGATGGGAAATACAAGCAACACATAATTCCTAAAAGATGGCGTCAATAGACAATAGGAGCTAACTATTCACATAGTATAATTAAACAGAAACGGGTGGAGTGGAGTGGGGGGGGGGACATAGTTCAAATGCATCATAGAAATAAGGATAAACTGTAGGCAAACCACAAAACCAAACAAACCAGTGAATTTATACACAGTACGCTTATTAATTAACTCAAAAGTAAAAAAAGTATCCTGCTGACCTGATGAACTCCAAAAATCCACTTTGCAAATCATTTACACTTTCAGGTGGTAGCAAGTAAGTAGGAATGAATCAAAGGAAAGGGAGACAGAGAGAGAGAGAGAGAGAGTTCACTAGGTTTCCTGAGCCTATCCTTAAAGTTTTGATATGAATGACAGGCCGGTTGCTAGCACAGTGTTCTCAAATGCAATTACCAGACACATAATGGACACAGGTCATACAGTGGAAATTTAAATACAGGCGTAAGACAAGCTGACTGCTCCCCTTCTACTATCTAGTAACGATGATATATTCCTAATTGTGGTCGACTGGATTATGCGGATGATTTCGCAGATGATGTATATCTAATGTCACACAGAAACTCGAAGACTCAGAGACAGGCGAAAACTGGCTGGAGAGGCTGGCTTGGCAATGAAGACAGGATTGACTCGATCCCGGTGATGAACACAGAGAAGGTGGGGATGGAGGGAGGCGATGAAGATAACCAACCAACAAACCCCCTCCAACAACAACAGAACCAATCACCATCAACGGAAGAGACTTGACAGAGATTACTTTCTACCTTCACTTATCTAGCCTAGACAGCCATTATCCTTTCAACCACGGGCAGTCGGAACGGATGAAGATGTCAGCACCAGCCAGCTAGCCAGCCAGCGAGAATTGGAAGGGCAAGATTCGCCTTCACCAACCAGTTCTGCTTCACTCCGCCTCAGCTAGCATAAACAACAAGATTCGAATTGTATTCAACACAAATGTCAATGAAGTCAATCAGTCAGTGCTTGTATATGGGTCATAAACTTGGATTGAACGTGTGTCACGAAAGGTATTTCCAACAGGCCACTGCAAGCTTTTATCAACAGCTGCCACCTTCGATGGCTGGCTCCATAGTAAAGATCAAATGGCCAGGGGGCCAGTCGGCTGGCGATGAGCGGACCGACGGAGAACCGTTAATTGCTCAACAAATACGTCGGAGAAAAAAGAGATGGACTGATAGGCCATACGCTGAGGAAGGAGGTCGTAGAAATACACTGCGTGCAATGCAAATGGGGAGCGACGGATGAGTAGGTGGTCGGTGCTATTGTGACATAGGGAAGGAGGTGGGAGATTGTGGGGCCAGTTGAAGAGAACAGCAGAAAATAGAGGAAAGTGGAGATGTGTTGTTGAAGAAGCTTTATGTTCTGCTTGGAACCCAAGAGAATAATAACAATAATAATTTTTTTTAAAAACACTTGGAATTAATGAGGCTTTCAAAATACACAAAAGAAAGCATAGTGACTTCGTGTTGCTATCAAAAGATTTTTAAAGGCTGTTTATCACCTCAACGTATTCCTTCCTATCCACGCCCACATGGTGGACCCGAAATTTTACCTGATTCGGCGATGCGTTTAGGAGTAGAAAGATTGTCAAACACTAACGTGGTTCATTATTCGATCCACGACCGACAGATTACTAAACCCTGGCTTCAGACAGAAGACCGGTAAAGGCCTATACTCATACCGTAACGTAAACGAATAAAATATATCAAACAGTATAAAGCAAAAGTACATAGTGTTAATGAATTCATGAATTTGATATATATTCCGAATTGCTGTGAGTGAATTGCATAAACAGAGTTAAACATGTGATGATATATATATATATATATATATATATATATATATATATATAATTCATCACATTCATATAGAGAATAGAAACAGAGAGGGAAAGACTGTAACTTAAGCGAAGAGATAATTTACATTCCGAGAGAGAAATAATTGCATATCCGTTTTATTTCGTCATTTAGGTCTTTTTTCGTGCTACTTAGTGCTATTGCTCGGTTTGTTAAACACTTAACTAAGCCTACCTTAACAGTTAACGGATGAGACGAATTAAAGAATTAGAATGCGTTGGTTTTTTATAAACACTAGTGTGTAGTTTGCCTTTTTCTATCCGTTTTATTATACAATCCAACATAGCAGCTAATTCTCTTTGTTCATTTTCTGATTGAAATGTGAATTTAATTCCCTCTACTTGTGAGTTTATATGTGTCAGGAAGCTAGAGATATGTTCTGTTTTCAACACTATGTGTGGAAGTGCCATCCACATATCTCCACCACAATTTTGGAGTAGGATTAGGTGAATATGTTAAGAGCAATATTTTTCCAGCTGTCCATAAATATGTCTGCTACCCTGCAATGACTGTGAGGCCAACTATATAGGTCAAACTAGTAGGTTGGGGATAGTCAGAACATAAGAATTTAGCTAAGGGAAGAATGGTTGACCCCATTTGAGAAGATAAGTAACTTAGAAAACAGCTGAGCAATTTCGCTTCACGCATTAACACACAACCACACAATGGCATTGTGGGAGAAGGTTAAAATTCTAAAAAGTAATCTATGTAGGTGGAGAGAAAGGTTGATTACTGAATACTAGCTGGTTCTTCAGTCTACACCCAACACATGCAACAGAAGTGACTCAATGCAAATACCAGAAATATGTATAGAAGATATTATTACCACCAGTCAAATCAGAGGAGGATAATAAGTAATCGTAAAATTCTATTTCAATTCAAGCACATCACAACATTCTAACAAGTTACTTATTTCGACTATAAAAACACTTGTCTTATATCCCATCTGATTGTAATTGATCAGTAACACTCATATTATTATTATTTCTGAATGTAAATTATCCCATATTGATTTTTATTCAAATGTCTAATCATCAAATCCACACGTGTATATAAATGAAGCAAAACTTCGTGTGTGTGAGTGACTTGATATGATTATGAGTGGCAATAGTTTGTGCTCGAAACGTGGTCAACAGTAAATCTTATTGTATAACAACACTGTGATTTTTCAACATAAAATCTTATCCATGATGGAGTTATGCTCTACCACAGTGCCCAAGTTTTATACTTATAGGGATTGACTCGTTACCTCTAGGGAATAATAGTCTCGTTGACTTAGAATATGCAGATAATATATAGTCCTGCTCCTAGGTGAAGACGCAGACAAAAAGCTGTTGAGTCTTCTGAACACCTACCTGGAGGAGAAGCTAGTACGTTATTTTAGTGATAAAACCACTGTGACTGACTGGTTTCAATATAGAACTACTTTGCAAAGATGTCCAGCAGCAGTTCCGATAGCCACACTGCATCCATGTAGCATACAAAGCAAGAGAAGACAGTACACAGAGAGATTCACAGGAGAAAGAAATAATCAAGGGAAGTGTGAGTGAGGCGAATATGGAGGAACATCAGCAGAGTTTTATTAGATATGATAAATCACAAAGAGTGAATGTATCTGCGCCAGCGACAACCATCACCGAGACAGATTTTCAGTCAACCATATCACCAATTGTCCCCAGCCTTCATTGGTTCTCACCACCATCTAGAGCACCCCATCCAGCCAATCAGTCAGGCAGTCTACACCTTTTACGTAGATTAAACTAAACTTAAACGCCTAACTTAAATATTGCTT